GGACAATGACTAAGGATGACAGAAGAATGGATGCCTTCAAATTGTGGTGCTGGAGAAAAGTCTTGACTGCCAAAAAAACAAATAGGTCTGTCTTGGAAAGGGTGAAACCAAGTTTCTCCTTGGAGGTTAGGATTTTGAAACTCCATCTCACACAGTTTGTACATGTGGCCAGGAGAGATCGATCCTTGGAGTAGGACATCATGCTTGTAAGGGTAGAGGGACAGTGCAGGAGAGGAAGATCCCAGATGAGACGGATTGATACAGTAACTAGGGCAATGAGGCTTGGTGTGTCGAAGTCAGTGAGATTGGCTCGGGACAGAGCAGGGTTCACAGCTGCTATACACAGGGCTGCTAAGGGTCGCAGGCAACTCAAGGGCACATAACAACAACGACAACAATCTTCCATAGTTTTGGTAAGAGCCAGTCAGTGTGAATTTAGGTGTCACTACAGTACCCAACTAGTCTAAGGGACCTGATCATGCCAGGGTAGTACAGGAAGCCAGATGGAGAGAAGGTATGAGTCTGAGAAGGTGCCAGATGAGTGAATAGAGTACCCAGGTCTGCAGGAAATCCACAAAGTTGTAAACAAGTTTGGAAGAAGCTGGTGGAAGTCCTGGCTGGTACAAACAACTAAGTACTAGGTGTTTAAACAGAAACTTGGCAGCCTGAATCTGAATCAAATGAGCCTTAGAAGAAAGGTCTGGCAATCTATCTCTGAAAAATCCAAACTTGAAAATCTCTGTGGGGTATAGTTTACTCTGACCCAGAGACTGGCCAGGAGTCAGAATCAGCTGACAGTGACTACTATTCAGGTTTTAGAAGCTAGAGGGTAAGGGCTATCTCAAAAGTCTTAACCCAAACAAGCAAAGCTCAAAGAAGAGATTATAAAGAGGAGAAAGTAGTCAGGTTTTTTTAACTTTAACAAAAAGGGTTTTGTATTAACAATCAGAGGATTTTGAGAATTAATGTTCCAAGAGGGTTTCCAGAATTAATCAAGATTGGTCTGTTCACTAATACGGCTGGGCTGCTGGGTTTTGTTTAAGGTTTGTTGCTGTTGTTCTTGTTTATGGTAAACGTAGAGCAACAAGAGAAAGAAATAATAGGGTCACTAATTGGCTAGAATCAAGACAAGGGGAGTTTATAAACACAACTGTGTCATTTATATACTAGAAGATTATACATTCCACCACAAAATTACAAGTTAGTGTCTACAATCTAGAGAGGGCAGAGATGAAAATCAGGCTTTCCTTCACTAGCAGAACCACCACACACAGACACCCAAACACATCCAACTACACGCTACCCCTTGCCTACACTGCACTGATTAACGAATCGAGCCTCTTCTTGCCTTATTTTTTCAATTAAGGGGATATTTTATTTCAAGTGATCATATAGTTCTGGGGACAAAGAATGAGATAAGATCACTTGCCCTCAGCATCTCATGTCCAGTCTTTTTAAATGTACAGAACAGGCAGCTTCCATTAAGGAATTGTGTCGAAAATGTACACTTGGAGGGAACAGCTTGACCCTGTGTTTCTGCAACTCTGGAATACTATATTCTTCAATATTCAATATTCCCCAGAACACTAGCATGGAACCTGTCACCCTCTAACTGAGGTTCTCTTCAACTCTCCACTAGGCCACTTGGCACTACATTATATACAGCCTTGTGCTATTTGCTAAAATGATACATGGCCAGAAAGCTCTAGTGGTCCAGTGGTAAGAAGTTGTGCTGTCAACCCTGAGGAATGTGGTTCTAATCCAACAGCTGCTCCTTGGGAGAGAAATTCCATGAGATTTAAAGCCTCTGAAAACCCTCTGGAGAGTCAGCTGTGTCAGTTCTGATCTGACAGCACACCACAACAAGAATGCTTTTGATACTTCACATGTACAAATGTCTTTTCCGCCAAATAAAATCTACAGTGACTGGAGAAAGTGGTTTAGCTCTGTTCTTCACGTCTGTACGCCAGCCACCAGCCAGTGCGGAGTGGCCAGCAGAGAGCTAGCACACACTGCAGGTCTGGCTCTCACTGAGACGCCACTCCACACTGGCTGGCAGTCCCAAGTTGTAGAGCTTCCTGTGAGGAGGACTATCACCTCTCTCACTTCCCTAGCATGCTGTGACTGTCACCTAGCCTGCTACCAGCTCAGAACGGCCCAGGCACCCTTCTGCTTATCCTGCACCCCCACACTGCCACACGAGCCCTCGCTAGCCCTGAGCAGACCCCTCCACCGGGCTCCCTCCCACAGCCTCTCTCAAGGGGAAGAAGTAGTTCACACAAGACTGTACAACTCTGTTGGTGCCCTCATTTAATCAGACTTCTGCAAATAGCTAGCCAAAAGCAATAAGGGCATGACTGAGAGACTGTGGGAGTTTAATATAAAAAAATTATTAAAAAAAAAGGGGGGTAAGGAGAAAGGGTCTACCTTTTAATAGGGCCCTAATTACCCAACTCACAGGATCAGCCCAAATGAGATGGGAGTTTATTTCGGGGTGTTTTTTTTAATTATTGCTTTTTTTATATATATATAAATTGCTGCTATGAGTTTTCTTTCCTCTGAGCAATTATGCAGCAAGTACGTAAAGAGGGGAAAAAATATTAATTAAATATAAGATAATTGTAGAGTTGGCCTGGAGAGAATGAGTCTGAACTCTGGACGATCACAGACTACCAGAGTTTGAAGACTGCTCAGGGCCTCCCAGCATAGAAAGAAATAAAAATACAACCAACCAACCAACCAGCAGATGCACAGTGCAGCAGAAAAGAGCCATGCACAGAAACACGAGCAGAGCAAAGGGCCCGAGGGGCTCACATGTCCAAAAATCAGTGAGAACGCCCATGGCTTAGTGCCACTGCTAGAAAGAGCCTTCCTAGAAAGGGTCCTCATTTCCACCCTCTGCTCAAAGAGCTTATCCAGCCAAGCCTCAAAAGAAGGACCTGCCTTTACTCATCTGGTGATCAATCCTGAAATCACTATTTTATTTTTTAATTTTTTTTATGCTGCGAAATAAAGGACGGAAGAGGCCAATCATGTTTACTTGGTACTTTGGTCCAAAACTAACCAGGGCCTGAGGGGTGCTGAGGTAGACCCCGCAGGAGCTATGCAGTTCCTCTCTATGAGACTGGCTTTTACCCCACTGTGACTCTAGGGAGTAACCCAGGTGATACAAAGAGTGCGGTAAAGCCACCAGGCAGAGCGCTGAGTCAACTGGCTCAGCTGGGCACAGTGCCCAGACCTGGGAACAGCAGGTGTCGTGAATATCACCACCGTTTCCTGAGAACAGTCCCAGAGTGTTTTTATCACCTGGGTCTTTCTACAACTCAGCCAAAGCCAAACTTGCCTCGTGCCTTGGAATACATCAGGCCTAGAATGCAGACTTATTCAAAACAGCTAAGAACCTCATGTCACTTCATCTCACTACTGCCAGAAGGAGAGTGAAGAAAAGCAAAACTGTCCTTAGAACTTAAAAGGCTGCTTCCCAAAATGTTAGTCAGGAGTCACCAGGTGATGCAGTTAATTGCTTAGTCGCCAATTAAAAGGTTGAAGGTTCAAAACTACCTACCTGGAGGCACCTCAGAAAAAAGGCCTGGTGATCTACTACTAAAGATGTTATGAATATAATTCTACTCTGACATGTTAGGAGGTCACTGCGAATCACAGCCAACTTGACAGCATCTGGTTTAATGTTAGCAATAAATACCATAAACTGCCACAGACAATGTGGCCTAGTGTTAAGGAACTGCACTGCCAACTTGAAGATATGTGGTTCAAATCCACCAGCTGCTGCATAGGAGAAAATTGGGCAACCACCTCCTCTGCAATTTACTACCTGCTAGAGTGTCAGCTACGGGTCAGATCTGACTCAACATTACATAACAACAACATAGACAACCAGGCAAACACTGAACTCTCTCCTTGACCTGTTCTTCAAGGAGAGCTGAAGGCACAACGGTTAAAGCATTCAGTTATTAACCAAAAGGTCAGTGATTTTGAACCAATCAGTTCTCTGCAGGAGAAAGATGAGGCAGCCTACTTTCATAAAGATTTGTTTTTGTTGTTGTTGTTGTTGTTATATACCATTGAGTCACATGTGACTCATAGCAACCCTATGTACAGCAGCTCTGAAGCCTGCCCTGTCCTGAGCCAGTCTCACTGACTCTGACACACCTACCCTCATCGCCCCAGTTACTATTATCAATTCATCTCATCCGAGTCTTCCTCTCCTGTGCTGTCCATCCACAGTGAGCATGGGTCCTTCTCAAAGGATTGGACCCTTCTGGCCATCTGCCCAAAGTATGTGAGACGGAGCTTCAAATTCCTAGGCTCCAAGGAGAAAACTGATTTTACCCTCTCCAAGACAGACCTGTTTGTTCTCTTGGTGGTCCATGGTATGTATGTTCAAGACTCTTCACCAGACCACAACTCGAAAGCATCGATTCTTGTTCTGTCATCCTTAGTAAGTGTCCAGCAAGTAATTACAAAGACCATGGCCTGAATCCGGCGCACATTAGTCTCTAGACTGACATATTTGCTTTGCTTCTCAGTACTCTGAGAGGTCCCTGACCACCTTGGAAACCCCACACAGTAGTTATACCCTGTTCACAATAGGGTTACAATGAGTCAAACTGGATTTGATGACAGAGAGTTTGGGTTTGGTTTAAAAGCACTCCCACTCAGAGGGGAAGAGAATGGCTAAATTAGGCAATAAAGCAGCTGCTTGGTTAGGCCCACAGCCTCAGCAACCTCACTCCGGCTCAGCCTCCACTGGATTCGATCATCTCAGTACTTATTACTGGTGTGCTTCAGTTCCAGCAAAAGCCAGGCTTGATTAAGGAGAGAGCTCCTTCGTCCCTGACCCTTACTCAGAAGAGAAAACAAAGGTGATGGATGGCATTACTACTTTTAAAGGGACAGTATGGATGTAAAATCACAGAAGTTTTCTTTAAATACACATAGAATTTATTAGGAAATTTATTCTCAGTATCTTGGAAACTTACCAATGGCTCTCGAGGCAGCACATTTTCGCTTCCTGGAGTTGAGCTTGGCTGTCAAAAAAATAAAACAACAAAAATAAGATCACAGTGCCACCCAATGGACGTCTAAAAAACGAAAACTCAAGTAACACACCAATACAGCCACAAACTCTTGCTTTCTCACATGTACACTAGTTTTTCTTAACTGTAGGTCACTCTGGAGTGCACTATCTGTAGGAAATAACCCAGCGCCTGGATTCACCATTGATCATGAAGAAATTGTCTCTGGGTTCCTGTCATAGCACCTAAGAACAAAAAGTCTTGGTTTCACGTAGGAGAGCCCAAGGAACCAACTGGGTGGCAGCTAAGGTCTATCACAAAATCCATGGAAATAACAAAGTCTAGAAAAGGTTTAAGAGGGAGAAATGCCTCTCATTGCTACCTCCCCAGTTCCAGATGACTAGAAACCAGAGCAAGAGTGGAGAGCTAAATCCTGCCACAAGGGGGCCCCAATGACCCACACTCAAAATTTTCTCTGAGCATCTAGTTAGAATCAGTGAACTTAAATAACAGCGTGACATATTGTTTACCATGCGTCACTGAGATCATTCACAGTAGTAATAGAAGCCCCAATCTTAAACTCTTTTAGGAGTACACAAGTAACCAATAAAGAGACCAAACTACAGGCAGGCTGGCAGCACTATAATGCTTCCTGCTACCATTGCCAACTCACTTGGCTTTCAAGTGTGTCCTGCTCTAGACTGGTCTGCCTTCATTTCTTGGCCAAAACTGGAGGAAGAGAAAGCCAGAGATAGAGACAACTCCACGTTGAGGAAATTTACAAATCTCCAAAAGAATAAAGCTATTTGAACCAGTTATGATTAGTTTACTGTTACTGATGTTCATGTCAATTTCCAATCACTGGCAGATAATATCCAGACAAGCAGAGCTAATTCTATGTGTCTCAGAAGCCATTCTCCATCCTCCTTGAAAGTTCAAATAGCAAGTCCCAAGCGTACTAGGAGGAAGGATAGGGAGAAGAAAAGAAAAGAAAAATACTACACAGAATGCAGACGCAATGATTTTTGTAAGTTACTACCTAACTTGGGAGGGAATGGAGAGCATTATGCTGAATGAACAAGCTCAGTTCCACAGGATAAACACTATGTAAAAACATTATTGTAGAATAAGTATGAGGATACAAGGGGAGGGGGAGGGTGGAAGCAGAGGGGTGATGATGGGTGTGTAGAGGGGGTTGTTAATCTTAGGGTTGCACCATTCTGTGGGGGAGGGTGAAGAAAATGGCAATGTATTCAAACTCTTTAAATAAATCAGTATAAATTTCTTTCATTGTTATACAATCCCCGGTAGTCCACTTTACCATGCAACTTTTATTCTGGACTCTTGTCATGCAAATAATGTCTAATCATTGACCCTCCATTTTTCCAAGCATGATGTCCCTCTCTAACAACAGGCTCAAAGTATATGAGGTGAAGCTTTGTCATCTTTGCCTACAAGGAGAAATCCAACTGTACCTTTATAGGGTCAGCATGAGTTGTTGTCATCTCGATGGCACATAATAACTATAACCTTCTCCAACACCTATCTGTACTTTTGGCCGTCCTTGGGATGTTTAATATTCTTCTCCAACACCACAACTCAAAGGCATCAAATTCATCTTATCTTTATTCACTGCCCAGCTCTCAGACACAGAGCAAGTGATTGAAAAGATCATGGCCTGAATCAGGCACACCTCAGTCTCCAAACTAATATCACTGCTCCTCAGTAATTTGGAGAGTTCCCTGACTGCAGACTTTTCCACCTTTTTTTTATATCTCCGAGTCTTCTGACGACGACAATGACGATGACTGCTACTGCTGCTACTACTGCTGCTACTACCACTACCACCAAGGGGGTTGACTGTGCATCCAAGTAAGATAAAGTCATTAATAATTTTCATTTTTTTCCCTATCTATACTGATGTTGTGTATCAGTCCAGTGGTAAGAATTGTTATTTTCTTGACATTGAGATGTAATCCTTATTGAAGGCTGAAATCTTTGATCTTCTACAGCAAGTACTTCAAGTCTTCACTTTCAGCAAGCAAGGTTGTGTCATATGTATAGCACCAAAACTCAAAAGCATTGATTCTTCTTCTGTCATCCCTATTCATTGTTCAGCTCTCTGATGCATTCTTCTGTTTTAAGTACCATCGAGTCGCTTGCGACTCATAGATGTACAACAGCCCTAAACCTGCTCTATCCTGTGCCAATTTTACTGTCTCTGACACACCTACCCACATTACCCCTGTCACTGTATCAATCCATCCCATCAATGGTCTTCCTCTCTTTCTCCATCCCTCCACCCTTCCAATCATGATGTCCCTCTCCAAGGACCGGTCTCTCATTGCAACATGCCCAAAATATGTCAGACGAAACCTCAGAATCTTTGCCTCCAAGAGCAGCTTGGTTTCAACCTCTCTAGGACAAATCTGTTTGTTCTCCTGGCAGTTCATGGTATACTCAATACTCTTCTCCAGCACCACAGCTCAAAGGCATCAAATCTCTTTCTATCATCCCTAGCCATTGTCCAGGTCTCTGATGCATAGTAAGCAATTGCAAAGATGATGGCCTGGATCAGGCGTACCTTAGTATCCAGACTGACAGCGTTGCTCTTCAGTACTCTGAAAAGGTCCCTGACAGCTGACTTTCCCAGTGCAATAGATTTCTTAATTTCCTAGTTGCTGGTTGATTGTGTTGATCTTTGTTCTCTTGATGCTGAGCTTCAGTCCATATTGAAGTCTGTAGTCCTTGATCTTATGCAGTAAGTGTTTCAGGTCCTCCTCAGTTTCAGCAAGCAGGCTTTTGTCATCTGCATAACACAGGTTGTTGATGAGTCTTCCTCCAATCCTGATGCTACATTCCTCATAAAGCCCAGCATACCGGATGATATGTTCTGCATATAGATTGAAAAAGTATGGAAACAGAATATATCCTTCCTGATTTTGAACCATGCATTGTCTCCTTGTTCTGTAGCATGTGATTTAAAAGACCACTGCCTGAATCAGGAGCCATCACATTGATTCCAAATTTGTGACAGTTCCAGAGGGTTTTCTAGACTCTTAATTTTTATGGAAGCAGAATACCAGGTATTCTCTCCCAGGGAAATAAATACTCAGTGAGTCTGAACAATCAACTACTTTGTGTTAGTAGCCAAGCCCATAACCACTGCACCATCAAGGCAGCATGAGAAGCTTGTAATATGAGCTTATCTCCACAAAGGAACTTGAAGCAGCAATGCTCTCCAAATTCCTCACATCATAGCTCCCATAGCCTTCTGAAGTCTCGGCATACTGAAATTAGACCTCTAAACTCAATCTCAGGGCTGTTCAGAACAAAGCAAACACTCCTTCAAACTGTACTCCAATTCACCACGTCCTCTAAAAGATCAGGCCACTGGCCTTATCAGTGAGCTCAGAGAGGATTCTTCACCAACATGGAATTACCCAATCTATGTGTATTCTGGATTAATTCTCCAACTCATGATGAAATTTCAGCAGTCTAAAGTGGACTTTACCCCATTTCCTGTCTCAGTGTCCTTGAGAAGTATCTTGGCAACCTAGTCCAAAATAGTTCCCAGGCCAGTGGGCACCAGTTCTGACTTCTCAGCACTGTGTTGGAGAAGAGTATGGAATATCCCATGGGTTGCAAAAGAACAAAGATAAATCTTGAAGAAGGTGCAGCCCGAGTGCTCCTTGGAGGCAAGAATAGAGAAGCTGCATTTCACATACTTTGGGCATGTTGCTTTGGGCTATTTCTTGGACAGGGACATCACGTTAGGAAAGGTGAAGGGTCAGTAAAAGAGAAGATGACATCAACAAGATGGAATGACACAGTGACTGAAGTAATGAGTTCAAGTATGTGAGACATGATGAGGAAGGCTCAGATTAGGACAGAGTTCAGGTCTGTTGTTCATAAGGTCGCAATGAGCCATACTTGACTCAATAGCACATAACAAGTAAAACAAATGTGGCCTGAGGCCCTGCTGTTCTAAAATATGTTTAGCAAAAAGGGAAGAAAAGAGGACACATCAAAGAGTGTTTGGAAGACACAGCATCCCGCTGTGTCTGAAGCCTCGCCAGACTCCCAAAGCTAAGAAGGAACAGAAAGCTCCAGTGAACACAGAGCTTGCAGGAGTGGGAGTAGAAATCTTGAGGTGCCTCCACGCAGGAAGATCTGACTCGCCATAGGAGGAAGGTGATGTGGTTAAACCGTGAGTCCTACAGACACATCACTCATTGCCATTAAGTGGGAACCAACCTGTAGCTGACTCTCCAAGTAGATTTTCTGAAATTGTGAATTGCATGGGAGGAGACCATCACTTTCTCCTGCAGAGCTGCTGATGGATTCCAACTGTTAGGCAGGCATGGTCTTTCATTAGCATAGCAACTCTCTAGGTCTATTTCATGAGAGCACACAGGCCGGCTTTAACCAGCTCTGTCTACTCCAAGTCTCCTTCTTCGCAAAGGACTTATCCAGAACCAGGATCATTAAAATGGCAGGTACATCAGCAAATGTGAACTATATTTCCAAGATCATATTTTCTAAAGGGGAGAGGGCTAAAGACAAATGGATGGTCTGAAAACAAGGGTGGAAATGATCCATTTTTATATACAGCCAATTTTTGTATAAGAACCTCCTCTTTGTAATCTAACTATATCAGTAATAATAAGTAGGTATACTTAATCACTATATACTTAATTAAAACCTTTTTAATTTAAAAGATTAAGATAATCATTCTGTACGCAATCAGAGGGCCTTGGCTGAATAATTCTGGGAAACATTTCACCTACAACCTAGCCCACACTTGGCCTTATCCCCAGAGCAGTATGACCTCCAGGGAACATGAAGAAATGTGTGGAGGTGATTCTGGTGACCACAATGACTACAGAGTTCCCACTAGCATGAGAGGGCAGAGGCAAGGAAGCTAAATGTTCTGCAAAAGGCACAATGAAGAACTGTTCCACCCAAAAGGCCAATTAGAGAGGCCTGGCCATTCTGCTTCTTTGTTCTGA